AATCACAAATTGGTTTCATTGGGATAGAAAGAAAGAATTGCATTTTTGATAAAAAACTTTTTGTTGAAGAGCTCTTCTTCCTACTTAATATGTAATATACTCTTAATTATGAATATAAAAATTAATTTATTAAAATAAAATCAACCAATTGTTAATTTCAATTTTGAATTTCATTATTCAGTTGTACACTAACTATAGTGCGAGATTAATGGAAAAAAAAATTTAATATTCTCTTAAAAGAAAATTAAATAAAATTTAAATATTTTTTATTATGAAAATAAATTTTAATGTTTTTATTGAAAAATTCAATATTAACCAAATTTTATTTGTTTTTCTTATTTCCACTCGGGCCCCCACTTATTTCCTTTCAGGTAGACCTTCTATCTGATTGGTTTTTTTTTGTTTTTCTTTTCATTTTGTTTTGGTTTTCCACAATATAAGAAGTGTGAGCAGAAATTTTATACATTTTGTATGTTTCCTTTAAATTTTTTTTTTTTGCTTTTCGTTCTTATGTTTCTGATGTCGCGCGCGAAAATTAAATAAAATTGGTAAAAAAAAAAAGGAAAAAAATTGTTCATATCATTATCACATTGTAAATATATATGACGTGTAAATTATTATTAACTTATTTTCGCTTTTGATTTTCATTTAAATACCAGAAGAAAAACAAAAAACAAGAAAATCGAAAAATCAAAAATACAAACTGTAAGCATATTCTCGCAATATTATGGCGCAATTTACTTATAACGGAAATCACTTTCAGAAATCAAATAATGCAAAAAAAAAACACAAATGCAAATAAAATTGAACAATAACAAATCGATTTACTCGTTTTTTTTTTCTTATTTGCTCTTTAGCTTTTGCTTTTTTTGGAAAATCATTGGGAAAAATTATGCTTCTTCGTCTTAGTAACTGTTTTGTTGGGTAATTGTTGGGTATTGTAGCCTTTTGTGTTTTTCTTCTTTTTTATTGTTATTTTTCTTGTTTTGCATTTTATTTTTGTTTTTTCTTGCATTTTTCCTTTTTTTTTTGCTTATATTCTTTGTGTATTATAACCGCGCCGAAATTGTACAAAACCGTAATGATGATCGTGACGAGCCTTTTATCAAAATCATCAACTGAAGTAACAAAAACAAAACAAAAACAAGAGAATAATAAAAATAATCAGAAAATAAAAGGGAAACGCAAAAGTAATCAAGAGGAACGTGCAAAAAACATTATTTCCAGAAAAAAATAAATGAGACACAAGAGTTGTACACCGTACATATAATGTATACATATTAATCTATATATAATATTAAAAGCAATTGAAGTAATACTATAATTACATATTTATTGCATATATATACATATAGGTGTAAGTAAATGTAATTGTACATGTCCTTGTGTTAATATTGTATATACGAACAATATTGTTATAAAGGTATAATAAGGAATAGAGATAAGCAATAAACTTTAACGTTATAAATGTGAACATACAAATATTTTTTGCTGACAATGTCTGATTTCGATGTTTACAAAATTTTAAATATTCGACACATACATACATGTATACATATTTGTTTTATGACTATTTTATAGGAGGGAAAACTTATATGACTCCTTTTTTTTAACATTCAATGACATGAATAGCAAATTGTTATATAATTATTATTATATAAGTAAAGAATTTTGTATACTATACTAACTCTGGATATTAGAATGATAATTGCATTTAATTTATCAATTGATTATATATGTATATATACATATATAGAGTATATGTAAATTGAATTAACAATTCTAAATATAAAATTTATTTTAGAATTTCAGCACTTTTTTTCAGGATATTTGAATGACATGAAAGAGAATATATTTTTGGTTAAAAGGGGACAAAAATATAGATTGTAAAAAATGTCTACTGTGTATTTATAAGGATGGGAGAATAAAATATTTTTAAGGTGGCGTTTCAAAATTTTTTATTCATAGATGAAAAAGGTATTGGCTTGTGTTAAGCGTGACAACACTGTAATTTTTTCATGAAAAACCAAATTTTATTTGGTTACAATTAATTAATAGTTGGTTGTTAAAATTTATTTATTAAATTTTTTAATTAACCACAATTTAAGAGTCAAACTCTTTATTAATTATCAAATTATGCAAAATTTTTAAATTGAAAATTTCATTTCTCTTATAACTAATTTCTAATGTGAAATTCTAAATTTCTTGTTTTTGAAATTTTTGAAAATTATAAATTTTTAGAAATTATATTTAAAGCTTAATATATTCGATTATTTTATTAAAGAAAATATTAACTGAATATATTGAATTTAGTATTCAACATATAACAATTTGAGGATATTAAAAACCAAAAAATTGGGGCAAAATCATATTTAGCAGGATAAAATTTCAATTTCATTTAAAACGATTAAAAAAAGGTAGGGGGGAAAAGAAAATTCTATAAAATTAAATTGAAAAACATTATTTTTTTCACTGAATCACTTTCTACACTGAAAAATCGATTTTTAAAAACAAGAATTATTTCGAAATAATATTTAAGTTTAAAAAACACCAACAAAAAAATTTGAATGTATTTTTAAATATGACAGAATTAAATTCCGAAATTACAATGCTTGTGTCGAAAAAAAAATTAAAAAATTAAAAATAAATCGAATTGCAAATTAAATTTTTGAAGAAAAATTAAGATTTTTTATTAAAATTTATTAGAGAATTTAGCCATGGGAGTAAAATGCTTATTTGTTGTCTGAAAAAATTTCTCAAATTATAAAATTTTACATTTTTCTAGGCATATTTTTACATATCACAATATACATACATTTTACATATCACAATATACATCTGTTTTAGAGGTCTTCATAAAAAATTATTAAAATTTATTAAAACTTTTTCAAAATTTTTGAAAATCGCCTGAATTTAATCATGATTCAATTTTAAAAATTGTTTAATAAATGTTGGTATTTCTATAACTGAACTGGTTTTTTTGAAAGTGGTATAAGTCCACTTTTTAAAAAGACTAGGTTCATGGTGATTTTGATGAGCTATAGACAGCTTATCTCCACAGTTAGAATCACAATTTTAATAGAGTTCTGCTTAAATATATTTATTAATTGGATCAAAATTGGTTCAAATGCAAAACCTTAAATATGTCAATATATGAAAAAATGGACTTATACCACTTTCAAAAAAACCAGCTCAATTCTTGTTCCAAATCTTCAGAATATTTAGAATTTTGTCAGGTCTTACGGATAATTCACTTTACAGCCCTTAGTTTTAGAATTTACAATAACCTTGTTTAAAATTGAATTCCATAAACCTTTATTGCTTTTTTCGGCTACTGTTCAAACAATTAATTATTATGCAATTACCATTAGAATTTAGAAATGGTTTTGTATAGACTTTCATTGAAGACCGTAACGTATCAATTTCGCATACAATTATATAAATTGTTTTTTTTTTCATTTTTAACTTAATAACATTTATTTTAATAGTTGTTGATTTTTCTTCCCTCATTCTATTGTTCTACTCACGTTATTCTTATTTTTTTATTTTTGCTATGTTAGTCCTGCAAATCATCCCACAACAACTATAAAAATAAAATGAAGTGTAAGGGAAAAAAAGAAGAAGGCAAGAAAAAAGAAAAAAAAAAACACAACCCGTATTCATTTTTTATGCTTTCGATAGGAATTTTGTGAATATAAAAGACATTCAAAAAAATTAACCCAACTTTTTTTTTTCCTTTATATACCTACAAACATGTAAAAACTCATTTAGAACTCAAATACATTTATAAATATTTAATATACATACATACATGTATAGAGTTGTCGGCAGACTTGTATTATTTCTTCGTTATATTTTAAAAGTGTTGAATTACTCTTCTGGGAGAGAATGAAAAGTGAAAAAATACCATTAAAAAGCATACAAAATTAAAAACAGAAAAACAAGAAAACAAAAAAGCAAACATAACAAAAACAATAACAGTAAGAAAACACAATACCAAAAAAAAAAGTCCAAACTAAGAATTGTTAAAACTCGTCATCAAATTTATTTAAACTTACGGTAGTTATTTTGTTTCACCAGTAAAAAAACTAAAACGAAACAAAATTCATAAAAGAAAAAGGTAAAAAAAAAGCAACCAGAGCACGCGAACTCCGAAATCATTTGTTCCTTCCTATTTATAAAAAAAGAAAAAAAAAACAAAAATTTTATTTTAGCATGTTTGGAAATTGCTTTGCATATCTTTAGGATCCTAAAATAAAAAATTTAAAGGAAAAGTAAGAAAAATTTAATTTTCATATAAAACAGAAAATGAATTCTAAAGGGTGTTCCGATACGAGAATAGTATCGGTTTTGTCATTAACAATACCATGCCTTCCAAGAACAAAAAAAAAAACAAACTGCTCTTTCCTATATTTGCCATTTCACTGGAAAATTTTTGGAATATTTGGCCAGTTACTTAGCTCCTTCATTCCTCAACTATTTTAACCGATTTGATTATTTTACTGAGAAATATTTTGAAAAGTTACAAAAAAAAAGTGAAATTATTAATTGCCATTAAGTGACATACAAATAAATTTAATTTGCCTTTTTAGTTAACCAATAGAATTTGAATTATTAACAAATTGTGGTTAATTGAATTTCAAACTCATTTTATCTTGTTGAAAAAATCTTTTCAATATGTGAGTAAATTAATATTTTTATTATAGATTTACGAGTATATTATGTGGCTTCCTTTAAGCTCGAAAATGGATAATATATTGAATATGCGTTGCAATTGTTCAAGTTTGCCACCTCCTTGGAGGACTCTCTTCAATTAAAATACTAAAATTTGAAATATTTAAATGACAAAATGTACTTTTTTTTATTTAATAATATGTTGCCTATGTTTCATTAATACTGCACTATATACTTATAATATTTATAATTTAAAAAACAAAATGCAAATTATATGAAAAATTTTATTTAATTTTAATTTTTCTTTTATTTTTCTGTCATTTCAGTTAAAAAAACTTTCGCATATATAGTAAATGAAAATGAGTTGTAAACGGAAACAAAAACTAAAATTAAAAGAAAAGAAATTTTAAGTTCTTTTATTTAATTTCCAATTTTCGGTACATACAAAGTACATACAAAGAAAACAAGAAATAAAGAAATAAAACAATAGAAGAAAGAAAAAAAAAACGAAACCCAAAAAAACACTTTAAAACTTTCACATTTCTCATAAAATTCTACATGTACGAAGAAAGAAATATTTTAAGGAGAAAATTGAGAACAGAAAAAAACAATATAACATAGGGAAAATTTAAAGTGAAAAACAATGTTATTACCAACATCATGTGGGCCTGGGCATAACCCAAGGCCACCCGCATCAATACAAAAAACATCAACGATAACAGATATTTCGATTTTAAATTCAATTTCTAATACAAATGAAATTACTAAATCTACTACATTAACAAAATTTTCATTTATACCCTCTACTAATAAAATATATAATAATATTAAGTTTATATCATCATCATATATTAATTATAATTTATTAAAACAACATCAACAATATCAACAACAACAAGAACAAGAAGAACAACAACAAAAACAGCAGGAACATCAAGAAATAATTAATAAAAATGGAATTGAATTTTTTATATTAAATTCAAATAATAAAAAATTTATTTTTACTAATTCTAATGGTTCAAATATTACTAATAACAACAATAATAACAACAATAAATATAATATAATAGATAATAATGAAATAATTATTGTGAATGATCATAATAATAATGATAATGATGGAATCAATAATAAAGATTATAAAATTCACAATAATAATGATATTGATAATGATATTAACATTAATCTTGACAATGATAAAAATATTGACGATAATAATAATGATGATGATATTAGTGGGAAAGAAAATTTCATATCGAATAACAAATATTCATCAAATAAATATTATAATAATTTAAATAAGAATAATAATAATAATAATTATAATTATTATTTTTATAATAGTATAAAATATATTTATTTATGTTATTTGAATTATATTAGCATTTTAAAGAATTTAATTTCATATAATTTAAGTTTAAATAATTTAAATAATTTATTTAATATAAATAATATTAATATTAAAATTAATAATAATAAAAATAATAATAATAATAACAATAATAATAATAATGATAATATAACTAATAAGGGAAATATAATGAATTTAAGGACCAAATTGATTTATAAAAATTTTTACAATTTAAAAATAACATATCAATGGATTTTGATGATGTTAACATTTTTTTTAATAATATCAAGCAATTCTGATTATGGAGGTGGTGTTGCCGCTGAAAAAAGTAAACAATGTAAGTAATTTATTAATTTAATTCGAATTTTAATTGAAATTTTATAAATATATATTTTTTAAAAAAAATTATATTATACATAAAATCAATTTTTTATGTTATTAATTCATAATTGCATATAGCATAGAAATCTGTCCTCTAATTGAATTTTTGAAAAAAAAGTATAACAGTTAAAATTATATACAATATATTGATCAACATTATAATTAATATAACAATATATTGGTATAAAGGCTTATTGCGTTAAAGTGGCAAATTTTCCACAAGACATTATCTTAGATTTTTTAAAAAAAAAAAGCAAAAAATATTGCATACGTTTAGGGGTCGTATGAAAAAATTTTTGTTTTCCACAATGACGATCTTATTAAAGATTCTGAAATTTTAAAATGGCGCGTTTTGCTTAATATATGACAACTTTTCAAGTTTATTTCACAAAATTTTTAAATTTTTTGAAAATAGCTTCATTGCAACCAATATTTGCAAAAATTATGTGTTAAATATGAAAATTTAAAAATTAATAATTTTGCTTCCAATTTTTTTCAATAAATTGCTCTATATGAGGATTTTCACGTTCATATGTGCATGTATGTATGTGCGATATGTTCTTATATGTTATGTAACTTATATATATATTACAAACTATTATTCGAATTAATAAGTTATCTAAAAAAAATCTGTCACGAGTTTAGAAAAAGTAAAAAAGTTTTTAAGATTCTTTTAGAAAATTATATTTTTTTTTTTTTTGATTTTGTCATTTTTATATAAGAGAAGAAAAAAGTTTTGAAGTTTTTCAAAAGAAAAATAATTCCATTAATAATATCAAAAAAAAAAACCGATTGGTTGTAACTCAACTCGAACACATACGCATTTAGGATATTTTCGTACAACATATGTATACAAAATTGTATTTTATGTAGGTGCGGGGAAAATTTGATGAAAGAAAAAAAAAACTAAAATTGTATATTAATGAAATATGTTCACACCAGAAGGTCAAAATTGTATCAAAAATTAATATTTTCTCTTTGGGAAAATATTCTCTTTCTTTCTCTCGTTTTTTTTTTCGTTGGGAATTATTTTATTACATTTTGGTTGACATCCAAATTTTAAATAATGGAGAAACCTGACTAAAAAAAAGTAAATTTTATTAGTCTAACTCGTTTTCGTTTAACCAAAAGTCTATTTAATAAAATTTTTTAATTAAATTAAGTAAGAGAGAATATTTAATCAAGATCTACTTAAATATATTTAAAATTTTTATTTATTCAATTCGAAATGCTTAAATTAAATTTTTGCATTAATATTTTAAAATTTGGCTTCTACGTTTTAAATATTTTAATAAGATTTTATTCAAAATGATTTTAGCTTAGCATTATATTTTGATTTTATATCTTCTGTCATTAATTTTTTTTTGAAATTTCGATATTTGTTTTAATTAAATTAACATATTAATTTAAAGTATTTACGAAATTTCAATTTTGCCTAAGCGTCATGCAGGTAACCTAAAGACACCATTACAGTGTTGACAAAGCTCACTATTAAATTGGAGTTTTAAATTTGCATATAATATATGACGTACATATTATATAGAATAATATAAAAGCATTTATAATTAATTGACATTCAAAATAAAATTACAAATTCAAGCAGTTAATATTATCTATTTATTCCTACTATAAATCTCAATATTAATAGAATAAATATGAAATCAGAAGATAAATAGGAAGATTAAATAAAAGAATAGTAACCAAATAAAAAAAGAAAAATAAAGATGGAAAAAGAAAGTGATTATATAATTTTTAATATTAATTAAAATTAATAAATTAATTGATTTCATTCAGTAAAAATTTGTTTAATTTAACTTTGTGGAAGTTGATACCCAAGGTAGCAATTTGTTATATTCATTGCAGTCATCATTTTTGATTCGTTATTTAGTAAGTTCTAGATGACATCTTACTATTTTGAAATTCACAGTATGCCTTGTAACAATATTCTCTTGATTGCGATGAAACTGTAGAATGTGGTATCGAATAAGATGCACCGATTTATAGAATACATGTGTCAAAATTTAATTATTCAACGCGACTCCATAAATTATATATATATAAGTTTAATTTTTAATTAAACATAATCTTGAATATTATAACAAAATTATTTATGAAATTATAATATTTAAATTAAAAAAAAAGACATAATATTTATTAATATTTTATGGGGAGTAAATGTCCTCTTTATTAAGACAATAATTATGATTAACATTACCATCAAATAAATAAGAATTAAAATATTTGAAATATTGCTTAATAAAATATTGCCATTATTTATTAATATATCAAAAATAAACTGTATGTGTAAATAGAGCAATAAATATTAAATATAATCTTTAATTCATAAATATATTATGAAAAACTATTAAATTGGAATTTTAAATCTGCATATAATAAATGACCTATATAGAATAATATCGAATACATATTTAGAAATATCTATAGCATGAAATATTATTTTTATGTATATAAATGCATACACAACACACATACATATATCTACATATATGTACATATTTAAATTTTTCAAATAAAATTCAAATTCATAAAAAGTTGAACTATCAATCAAAAACAATTTTTTTTATTTATTTCATTTTTATATTTTGTTTATTTTTTTATTTAATATAATCCAATATATTGCCGATGATCCTTAAATATTTATATTTAAAAAAAAATAAAAGAACAACATAAAAACTACGCCTCCATTCTCTCCCTATGTTTTTCTTTTGGTTTTCTAAAACAATATTCAAAAAACAAAAAAATTGAACAAAAGAACATGTTTTCAACTTGCTGTAATGTCAAAAATGAAAAGTTTCAGCAACAAAATGGTACCTCAATATATAAACGAATTATTGTTGAACCTAAAATAAATATGTACATAAAAGTATACACACATGATTGGATACTTGTGTAAGGCTCTCTACATGTTCCTATCGTTTCTTTTTTTCGTGTTTACAGTGAGATGAGAAAGGTTGTCTAACTTCTAAGTTTTTTTTTTTTTGGTTTTAGATAAATTTGTTCTTCTCTTTTCATAATATTCAAACTCATGTACATGCCACATACATATTTATAAGTACATATGTGCATAAAAAGTTTCAATCTCCATTCAGCAAATAACTATAGCGATAACCAAAAAAAAAAAAAGAGATAAAAAAATCACGCCTTCAATATTACACAACAAAGTCAAAAAAGACAAGGTAATGAAAAACTAAAAAATCAAAAAAATCAGTAGCACAACCAAATAAAAAAGAAAAAAAAATAAATATTGAAACGAGCCAAACTGCTATAAAGAAAATATTAGAAAAGAGTAGGAGAGTAGAGCATTAGAATAAGGAAATGAGCATTAGAAGGTGGGAAAAGATAAAATAAAGTAAGCGGAGAGTTGAGTTGAAAACAAAAATTTCTTGTGTTTTTGTTTTTTTTTTAACATCTTTTTGATATTCGCAACATGTTTATTTACTTTTCTTGTTTTTTCTGTTATTGTTGTTTTTTCTGCTATTGCTGATATTTCTTTTGTGCAGAAACAATGACAAAAAGGTATCAAAACAACATAGACGGTATATAATATTTTAGGGATTTAGAAAGGACACATATACGAGCTTATACTAAATATATCTTTCATGAAAAAAATATCTGTTTTGCGTATTATATGTAAGTAATATTTATGTCTAATATTTCGCCATTTTCGCATATGAATATATTATGTAGGTATATAACATTTGTAATCACATTCCGTATCAATGCAATATTTATGTTCAAAAATTTACATTCTTCTTCTTTTAATATTTTTGCTCGTTTTATAATTTTCTCTTATGTCTTTCTTAGTTTTTCTCTTTTATTTTAAAAGATAGGGAAAGGTATGATATTTGTTGTATAATATACATATTATGCTAAAATTAATAGTAATGAATAGGTTTGGAGATTAGTTATATGAGAAATAGAATAATAAGCAACGTTATGATGAATATAACGTGATGTCTGTACCTCGAAAGTACTTATAGGGCTTATGGAGCCTATTTTGCGTGCTCTTAAGATGTGTAGAATGTTAATTGTTTTCTATTTGAATTTTTCAATACTAAATTTGTTAAAAATTGTCCCTAAAAGATCATTTGTGATATTTTTTTTGAAAGATGATATTGTATGATTACAGGTCGGAAAAAGTCTTTAAAAAAATTAGTTCCATAAACTTTTGATTTCTATTCTTAAGAAGCAATATATAAAGTATAAAAATTTCTGTTTTTTATATTTTACACATAAAACTAATCTTTAATAAACAACAAATATTTTCTATGTTCGTAAATAAAGACTATATGGAAAATCTTTTTTCTAAATAGAAAATATTTCAATAAATCAATTGAACATTTACTTATAAGAATTGTATTCAAGTCTTATGAGTACAATTGTATGTATGAATATTTGAATTTATTTTATTGGTCATTAAGACCAGAAACAACATCTATAATAATTCAATTTATCAAATTTTAAGTGATTAAATAATTTATTTTCTTTTTATACAATTGATATTTTATATGGTTACCTATATATATAGAAAATAAAAGTAAATCAGAACAACAAAAAAAAAACAAAAACAAAAATAAATAAATTTGAGGAAGAATTCATGTAAATAATATTTATTTTATTTGTTTTCAATAAACATCATCGCTCACATGTGACACACGAGCATATTATCAATAAGAAATTATAATAACATGAGAATAAAGAGACAATCACTGTTAACATATACAAATAGTATATATTTATGGTGTTATGTTAAGAGCATGTTTTACAACGGAAAATGAGAGAAAAAAAAAACAATATTAAAAACAGGAACTTTTCTCTCAAAACCCACCTCACATGTATATTTGTGCTCATATAAGAAGACATTTTAAAATCCTGTGATAGCATATTTAATTTTGTATTGTTCTCCTAAACAAGACACACGTACATAACATATTATTATTAATATGTTTTGGTATGTGTGTATTGTTAATATTATTTATATACATAAATACTTATTTATTTAAGCTTTGTGAACATATCGTTAGTACAAAGAAAAAAAAACAAACAAAAAAAAAATATACAAGGAGATTCTCTGATCAAAATTGTACA